GACCTGTGACGTCATCAGTGACCTCGAGGTCAATAAAATTAGGTTTCGCTCGACAGTTTTTCCGGGGCTATCAGACGCCGTTTGAATTTTGACGATCGGCCCAGTAGTTTCGGAGTTAGGAGGGGGGGCTATGAATAGCCGCCCCCCCAGTAGGGCGTGTTATACGCAGACCCCAGTGGGGCGCGGGTTAAGGGCTAGAAGAGCTCACATTCTTCAAGTTATGGCCTGTTTAGCCTTATTGTTGTAATAAAAGATCCTAATAAAGTATTCACAAAACTCTAACCATGCTCCTTTTAACCCTCGCCGGCCGAGGGGGGGGGGGCGGGTGCCGCCCCCCATAGGGTTTTTTTCGCGATAGCTCCGAACACGCTGGCGATAGAGAGCTGAAACTTGGCATACCTGACCTTTGATCCAAGCCGCATCTTTTGACACCAACCGCATTTTTGGGTCAGGTCAGGTCACTGACCTATGACGTCATAAGTGAACCTCTGCACGGTCTTCAGATGTCGCAACTTCGCAACGCCCTCACTGCCAGAGGAGATGTCACAGGGAAATGAAACTTGCAGGATCTAGTATCCATTATGAGTCTCACAACTTGTATATCTCGGATTTTTCCTAAAGGTCATATGAGATCAGGTCATTTTCGTGACCTTACCATTATAAGTCAATGGGGAAAAATTCAAACTGCTATTCTGGCGCCGGGAACGATCTCCAACTATCTCAAGCACACAAAATCGTGATTTTATGCACTCCTTGCAAGGTTAGATGCGTCACTTTTGCAATGTTGACCTTGCGTGACGTCATTTATGACGTCATCAAGGTCATATTAGTTTTTCGTCAATAACTCTTGATCAAATTGAGCTAGCGAGCCGGAAAAGCCACCAATGGACTTAGGAAGACCTGCCGAATCGGATGATATGCGACATGACCCCTTTCGACCAACTTCGTGACCTGGGGGTGCTGACCTGACCTTGACCTGAGGTCAACACCCCAAGTTGACCTGACCCGGACAAAAAGTATATCATTCGACGCGCCTGAGCGAGACGAACACGATGCTGCCAAAATCGGCGCTCTGCGGCCGTTTTTTGCGAAGTTATTCACCAAAAACTGAACCGTACCTTGGGGCACTTGACCTGACCTCAGAGGTCACCGGTTGACCTAGGACCTTAAAATCGGGTACCAATCTCTGCGTCTCGTAACGGCGCACACGCTCGTTTTTTTCCGCGACGCGCTAGCTCCACCAGGGGCGAAACGGCGAGGGGGGGGGGGTCGTACCCGCCCCCCCCCCCCTCGGCCGGCGCGTATGTAGAAAACCAATAGGTCCGGCGAGGGTTAATTTGGATCCAGCATTATGTGCATATGACGTTAGCCGTGGCCACAACCCAGCCTGTTCAATTCTCGAGCCGTGACCATCATACCAGCGCGGCGCCAACCCCTCGGTCTTCTGACAGCAAGTGCTTGGCTCATGAGTCATGTCTGCTTTAACCCGCGCGGGGCTGGGGTCTCCAGCCGAACGCGCGGGGCTGGGGGGGGGGGGGGTAAATTTTACCCCCCCTGTTATCTCCCGAACTAACGGTCCGATTTGGAAAATTCAAACGCCAATCGAAAGCTCTCATCACGAACTACTAAAAACATGTACTTAATTTAAAGTTTGAGGTCAAGGTCAAGGTCAGGTCAAGGGTACAAATTGCAAGTTTCTACAGTATCGGCCTTGCACCGTAGTTGCCGAAGAATGGAGTCATGGACTGAGACTGATCGCCCAAAACGTGTTCTTAGGCTACCAAGACAATATTCGTTGCATACAATATCATTCAGAGGTCAAGGTCAAGGTCAGGTCAGGTCAGGTCAGGTCACCAAAAAACAAAATATAGAAAAGGGCATGTGCGACACATGTTTTATGGGTCATTTTACTCATAGAATTCAATAGGCACACTCAATAAGTGATATGGACTTCAGGTCGATCAGGTTAAGTGATATGAATTTCAGGTCGAGGTCAGGTCAAGGTCAGGTCAAGTGAGGTCAAATTTTGAAGTTGGTTGTTAAGGCCTAAAAAGGTGTCTATCTGATGCAGTTTTTCACGGCGAATCGAATGGTGCTATTTTTGTTTCCGTACGAGGTCTAGAACTTCCAAAAAAGTCATTTTTCAAAAATTTTGTGTGTCGTGACGTCATAAAATTTTGAATAACTCCCACATTTTTGAACCGATTCTTCTAAAATTTGGCATGTAGGTGCACATAGATCACTTCTCTGACATATATTCCGGTTTTTTCGATAGACTCAAAATTTTGGATTTTATAATGATTTTCCCAAAAAAGTCAGTTTTTTTAAAAAAATTTAGGCCAACATCCAAAATTTTCAAAAAAACCGAGATAGCCATTTGATAGACAAAGTAAAATTACGTATAACCTTTTTTGTTACGTCTTGATTCCTTTAAAAATGAAGATGTTAGCGGCGTTTGAACTTTTGCCGTTTTTGAGGCGAAAATGACGAACATGACGTCACTAAAACGTCAATTTCTCAAAAAATTTTCCGACGGATTTCGCTCAAATTTTCAGGGAACGTGTCAAATTGATGTAAGAAAAGGTACTGAAAGTTTGGCGGCGCTGCGCGCCGCCGTTTTTGAGATATCGCAAAATTCGCGAGGGGGGGTAAAATTTACCCCCCCATTCCCGCGCGGGTTAATATGTACATGTCATTTGCACTATCGGGTGTTCTATATCGGGTGGCAACGCACTTTTGGATAGTCGGGTGGCAACGGTCGGTCGCCTGGTGGCACGGTCGGCGATTTGTCAATTATTCATCAAGAGGGTTTGACCATCTTTTCAACTTATTTAACATTCCATTTCTCATTTTTGCGGCTCATATCAGCGCTGCCATTCTGGATGCATGTCTTCTTCTGCGAAGTAGTGATGGTGGATGGGCCAAACGTTACGTAAGTTCATTACAAATTTAATGTCTGTACTGAAGGAATTCGTGGGCCAATGTTTCCCACCTAGACCTTGCTTTATGTCTAACCTTTTCTTAATATCCCTGTTTTTTAAAGACATTTTAGCTAATGCAAGTCCCGTGGAAAGGACATCTGTGGAAAGGACATCTCTGACTATAAAGCGACCACTCCCTCCCGATTTTCTCTCCCGGCACCCCGCTCGAGTCTGCTGGGACAAACCGAACAATCTGACGCAGCCGTTCCAACTTCTCACACGCCACTGTCAACACTTGGATGCGACAGCGACAGAAAAAGTGCCGGAGCTCCTTAGCGCTAACTAAGCTGAGCTAAGTAAGCTCGAATAATTTAAAGACCAATGATTTACACCAAAAGAAATGAGTGTTTCTACCAGTTTTAGCATGATTATAGGTTAGAACGGATTTTTAGATAGCCGTAATACCTACCCAATTTTTTGCGTGTGGTTCGGCTGCGATACATACATTTTCAAATCTATGAATGACGAAGCGTCTGGTAAGTCGGGTAGCTATGCTTTGATTTTGATATTAGCTTAAAAAAAACTGCGGTCTGATTTTAAAATCACTTTTTGAAATTTGAACTTCTCGTGTTCTATTTTTCATGGTTTTAATACATCCAGCTGATTCAAAAGTGCAATGTGACTTTTAAAAAGTTATGTGTGTTCATAAAGCACACAGCATTTTCTGACATCAGTCCGTTCTCTCATCTCTTAGCAAAGTCAGCATTATCCGCGCGGCCCGACTCTGTTTCAGAAAGGGTTCTCTGGCAGCGGAAATTGAACGCTATCGCTACAAAACAGGGCTATATGTCTTGTTGGTAGACAAATAGCACTGGCGCTGTGCCAGCTTCTGGCTCGTGGGTGACGTTTAATGGCGCTGAGATGAGCACCTAAGTCTTTCGCTTGCATGCTATGAACCATAGACCACTATAGACCACGCATAGACCACTATATAGGTATATAGTGGTCTATGTATGAACGTTGGACGGTGAACTGGAGATGCAATGAGCTAGCGACGCTGGCTTAGTTGGCTTAGATATTCAAGGACGCCATTCGTCAGATACCTGATGTTGGCATCCCAGCCCAGGCAACTTTATGTCGATAAAAGTAGTCACTAAATGATATCGTTTTTTTCCTCTCTCATTCATGGCGCTTTTTAGTTTTCACCAACCGGTCCCGCCCGCTTTCTCTGTCATGTATCACACCCAGCTTCCTCACTTCATTGTGCCCTCGTACCGGAACCACCACGAGTCACGTCTCACAAACGGGGCAACTGTTGTTGAACGCTGACGTACACAGTTCAACATATAATAGAGGACGTGCCGGGGGCCGCCAGGGGGTGTGACGTGCAGAACGAGCCGGATGGGGAGGAAAGGGGTGCGTGAGGTCAACACTGTCAGCTTTCACAGCAACACAATAAAGTATAGCTTCGAACTGTCAGTCACGGATACCACTGTCACTGAAACATGCCCGCGACGAAAAAGTGGCTCTATTGACTATTGAGTGCACCTATGAATCATACCATTTGTGTTGTAAAACGTTCCCTCTCAATGTCTATATCATTTGTATCATATCTTACTATCTGGTCTGTTCCGGATGCCAGTGTCAACACTCATTTGTTTCCTCCCGATGTGCCTATACCTTGCCCGCAGGAAAGCTAAACTCATCAATCGACTTAACATATAGGACACTTTATATGATTTGCTAACCCAATGTCGAGCTTCCACGAGTTATTTCGCGTCCCGCTTGTTGATCTACAACCGTAAATATGCTGTCATCAGATTGCCTGCTGCATTAGCCAGTAAGCCACCAGTCTCATTCACCAGCTGACCCACACTATCCAACTGATCCTACCTGGTGGTCTTCTGACCTCCCACCGGACCTCCAGCTGACCTCTGATGGCCTTTCTGACCTTAACCCTCCCACCTGACCTCCTACCTGGACCCCAGCGTACCTCTAACCTCCAACCTGACCCTCAGCTGACATCTGGCATCCTACCTGACCCCCAGCTGACCTCTGACCACCTGACCTGCCCCCCAGCGAACCTCAGCCAACTCCGACACCATGGGCCGACCTCAGCTGCGCTCCAAGCCGGCGGCGCCGGGCACGCCGCTGCAGCCGGTCCGGTGGCGGCCCCGGGAGCCGCTGCCGCTGCCCCGCCGGCTCCGACTGCCTGGCTCGTCGGTACTCGGCGTCTGCCGGATGGTCGACAGCCTGGCCACAGGCTTCTGCTAGAGAGGAGCAGTCTCGCCACAGGCTCCTGCTAGATGACTGTATGTAGTCTCACCAAGTCTTCTAGACGGTTCCAGTCGTCCACCGGCGTCTACTAGAGGACTAGTCTATCAAAAGTCTGCTAGACGGTGGCAGTTTCGTCAGAGGTTTCTCCTAGCGCATGCCTCAGCCGCCCTCGGTGAGAGGGTGACAGTCAGGCTGCCCGGGGGATGCTGTGGTGTGGGCGACAGCCGAAAGATGACGGCGTTTCTTCAAGACTCGTCAGGTTAATCGGTGTGAACAGGGTCTGGAATGTAAAGTAATGAAAGGAGGGTGAAACCCGGAACTGAATCCAATCAGCCGTTCTAAGATTGTTTACGACTCTGGCACTCAGTCATCCGCAATGTTTGCAATCATTTAAAATATGGCCCACTCTGCTTTTACTTTACGGAAACATGGATACGGGCCGCTGTATTATCGCTACATCATCGGTGCCCCCCAACCATTCCTATCTTACCTGGCCGGTTCCATCAATTTGTGTTAACTTTATCCTTAAGAGGTCACGAGGGCTTGTGTTCTGAGGTGAGGACGTCCAGAGGCTCGGCGATGGAACCGGCCACGGCAATTGCCGACGATCTTTAGTGGCTACGGAGTCTAGCAGGTATAAGGAATCACACATATGATGAATGATAAACAGGGTGCTGATATATATTGAACGAATTATCATGCCGGTGATGTGATTCTCCAGCAATAGCAACTGATTCAGGTGTGCCAGTGCCATTACGTTTGTGGTGAATGTAATTATACGTGAGTGGTGTATGGTGTGTGTGCCCTAATCACTAGTCAGAAGTAGTGACAATACGATAATATACGAATGTGCGTCAACCCACGCGGTCGATGCCTTCTCGTGCCGTTTATGGTGGTTATCATTGGCATGTGTCACTTAACATTAAAGTTAAGTGGTTTATGTATCGAAGGTAATACACAATGTCATAAGCACAGTTTACAGAGGTGTGCCGAAATCTATATCACCTTGCTTGCATGTTCTGGTGCATTGCAAACAGTTGTGTTATCGTACTTATAAATTATTGCCCATATGTGATGTAATTCATCCTGTTTTCATGAAGCATACGCTCAGTATGTATGATTGTGACGTAAACCTACTTCGTTTTCACATACGAGTAGGTTTGCGACGTAGTTTTGACTTGTTCACATTTTTTTGTGTTATGTTCCGTCACTTGAAACACCTATAATGTCAATACACATTTCATGGCTAATAGAGTTCCATTTACATCAAGCCTCATGGGACGGTCAACCTTCAGTAGATGAGCTCTTATTAAAAATCAGAGTTTGAACTGCACATGGGGAGTTTAAACTGAACTGCTAAGTGCGTAAAATGAATATCTGCAAACAGTCAAATAACAAGTCATTTTCTCTTTTAAGATTCGTGCTCCGATTGAAGATGCTCTTATGTATATCAATTGAGGATATGATAACGCTCCAGTAGGTCGCGGGGCAGGTTTTCATGCTTTCCATGACTCCTGATGACAGTTCCATAGCATCCATTAGGATCGAACCTTTGGTTTACATCGCTAAAAACAGTCGTGAAATCGAGAGCAAACTTTTGTACATTTGGCCCCAGTTTCCCTCCTTTTCTTTTTGGCGTTGGTCTAGTGTTTTAACGTGGTTGGTTTATCGATAAGGCGTGAACATACTGATACTGATAGCGTATTTTTTATTGAGATTATCCCGATTTAGGTACGTAGCAGACATAATGCCCGACCCGGGGCGATGCCAAACAATGAGACATAAACGATGGCTGGCGAAGAAGTGAAGGCCGCAGCCCTAATGCTGGAACTAGTCAGTAAGAAAAGCTCATTAGGAGTATGATGGGGACTCAACTCTGATATGGGCGATTTGAATGAAGAAAGCGACGCACATGACATCCTATGCATTCGTTCTTATCGATGCTTTCGCTTCAACGGAGTAAACTGTCCACGGATTTATCTGATCTCACGGACTACATCTGCCATGTCTATGTCTACTGCTATAGGTATGCTGCATGCATGCCTTCCGGGCTGTCGATTTGCCAGAGCTCTGTTGGAGTCAGCTAAAATGGCAGTCTTCCTCCGGGGAGAGAGTGCTGGGTGGGCTGTTCCGTCGAAACGGAATATCATTTTATGTGCCGAGTTTTGTAAAAGAAACACAATATTATCTGGACAGTCGGCATTAGACATGCATAGCATTAAAGGGACCCTCCCACCTTAACATTAGATTTGAGTTGAGATAGCCAAAATGGGGTCCCTGGCTCACAATTACCGGTTTCGGCACTCACAACACCGAGAAATGCCTTAAATCAGAAATATTGAATTTCAAAATTGCAGCATTTTGATTCAGAGGGGCTAATGCTTAGGAATACCCCTCTGAATGTGTGACGTCAGCGCAGATATCTAACGATTTTAAATGTTTGACTAAAACGTTTTGTAGCACGCGGTGGTATATGCTGCTTTGCGCGCAACAAGTGCCGCACTTTCAGCTGCCAAACTATTGCTTCCAAATAAAGTCCCTAGGAACAGCGGAGATCCCAAAAAGTAAACAAAAGTAAAAGTCTAATATCTTGAAAACCGGTGAATATTTTTCGGTGAAATTTGGTAGATATTCGTTTTCGCTCTTTCTGAACCGAGCGACATCACTTTCATGCCAATTCATAAACTTTTTTGAAGGTGGGAGGGTCCCTTTAATTCATTTTCTGAAACAAAAGCTAATTTCGTTACCCATTTTCTTGCGCTCCGAAAAAAAAAACAGGTAGGAACTGAATCCATTTTGGGAAAGCTACACAGACAACCTCATTGAAAACGCTGAATATACATATGTTTTTTTAACTCGAGCATTCTGGGGGAAATATTGCGTGATTTTACCCAAAGGCCAATGCCGCTCTGCCAGCTGCTGTATCAATTTGAGCTGTATCCGTAGGTGTCGCTGTTCGCGGTCGACTTTCCCACACAGGTGGCGCTGGGCGCCGGTCCGTTGCCGTCTACCATCGGGGTGTATTTTCACTTGGCTTTGTTGGTGCACTGAAATACAGGCCGGCTCCTCAGCTGTCAGCCTCACATAGTTAACTGATATATCGTACTAAATGCTTACTAACACTTTCTGTTGTAAACCAGAAAGCACGTTGAAGACGTGCTTTTTGGTAGAGCGACTTTATGCTCTCATCCCGCTAGAGATGTACTTACTTACTGTAGGAGGTAGGTGTTGCAGGCCTGGTTCCGTCAGGATGGGTTCGTCAGCTCCCCTATATCTCCGTGAATGAGTACCAATCGATTCTCTATCACATTTTCCTTCCCTCGATCCGGTCCGATAGTGACCAGGTAGCTGGTAACTGGTAGACGGTCAGTTCCAGGCATGAACACACAACAAATACCTACTTATTATTATATCCCTCGCCGGCCGAGGGGGGGGGGGGCGGGTGCCGCCCCCCCATAGAGTTTTTTCGCGATAGCTCCGAACACGCTGGCGATAGAGAGCTGAAACTTGGCATACCTGACCTTTGATCCAAGCCGCATCTTTTGACACCAACCGCATTTTTGGGTCAGGTCAGGTCACTGACCTATGACGTCATAAGTGAACCTCTGCACGGTCTTCAGATGTCACAACTTCGCAACGCCCTCACTGCCAGAGGAGATGTCACAGGGAAATGAAACTTGCAGGATCTAGTATCCATTATGAGTCCCACAACTTGTATATCTCGGATTTTTCCTAAAGGTCATATGAGGTCAGGTCATTTTCGTGACCTCACCATTATAAGTCAATGGGGAAAAATGAAAACTGCTATTCTGGCGCCGGGAACGATCTCCAACTATCTCAAGCACACAGAATCGTGATTTGATGCACTCCTTGCAAGGTTAGATGCGTCACTTTTGCAATGTTGACCTTTCGTGACGTCATTTATGACGTCATCAAGGTCATATTAGTTTTTCGTCAATAACTCTTGATCAAATTGAGCTAGCGAGTCGGGAAAGCCACCAATGGACTCAGGAAGACCTGCCGAATCGAATGATATGCGACATGACCTCTTTCGACCAACTTCGTGACCTGGGGGTGCTGACCTGACCTTGACCTGAGGTCAACACCCCAAGTTGACCTGACCCAGACAAAAAGTATATCATTCGACGCGCCTGAGCGAGACGAACACGATGCTGCCAAAATCGGCGCTCTGCGGCCGTTTTTTTTTGCGAAGTTATTCACCAAAAACGGAACCGTACCTTGGGGCACTTTACCTGACCTCAGAGGTCACCGGTTGACCTAGGACCTTAAAATTGGGTACCAATCTCTGCGTCTCGTAACGGCGCACACGCTCGTTTTTTCCGCGACGCGCTAGCTCCACCAGGGGCGAAACGGCGAGGGGGGGGGTCGTACCCGCCCCCCCCCCTCGGCCGGCGCGTATGTAGAAAACCAATAGGTCCGGCGAGGGATATATCTTATGGTGCGTATGCGTGGTAGGTATGCGTGCGTGCAACACGTGCGTGATAAAAAAGCGCGTCAACATACACGCGAAACGTCTTCAGATATCGGCCAACATTTCGAAGTTTGCTCGTTGGTCGTTCCTAGGTTTAATTGCCGCTTGGGGGGGTTATTCGTCGCCAAGCTTATCTCCGCCTCGTGATTATTTGTTTCAAGAGGAAAAAATGTGGGTGTAAAAATAAATATTCAAATCAATTGGTTCAGATATTTTTTTCACAGCAAAGATCGCCTGTGTGCCATTTGTTTCAACAGTTCATTAGACATTCCAGACCGAATTTAATTTACATTTTGAGCAAACTAGCTGATTAGCAATTCACCGCGTAGCCCTGTTACGCAACTGGATTATCGCTTGGTCATGATCTCGGCCGTTTATAATCTGTACCCTATCGCTATATTTATTATCCGTGGTCTGTGTTACGCATGGGGTGCGGCCTTGCGGGTCAATTCAATTGCCACACAAAGCTTAATAAATCAGTTCGCTACCGCGAGATCAATTGATTCCGGCGCACCTGTCGCAATCCTCGCGCCGTTTATGGATTCCATCAGGCCAAGTCGAAATTAGTTTGTGACCCTGTCTGAACAAACGAAAACAAATCAATGCGCTCGTGCCGCGCCGGTTCGCGTGGGCGAGCTCAGTTAGTCGGACAGCGCTGAACAGGGTTTGAGCACACAAAGAATCGTAAAACACCCTGGCGAGTGTTCGTGTGTAGCACATCGGGTGGGGATCTGACCGGGCCCCGGTGTCAGACTGTCATACCCACTGGACTGACAATCGTATTCTCGTAACTCTCACAAAGATCATCACTCACCCGGCGAGTGTGGCACTCCAATCGACAACCGTCACTAAATGATGTAACGGAAGTTGGCACAGATTCAGCACAGATTCAGCACAGCACAGATTCGGTAGGGGGAAAAAAGGCCCCGGTAGAGGGAAACCTTTATGACCCATTTTCCCCTAGAAATGACGTCACAAAGAGGTAAAAATGGGTATCAATCGAAAGCTCTCGTTTACCCAGACACAGTCCTGCAGGAAAATTCCACTTTTTTCCCATAGGAAAGTTTTTACGGGAAAATCAAAATTTTGGGTCAATGGGGGGTCCCCCCCGATTTCGCTCAAAATCGGCACACAGGTGCCCCACCACCAGCCGAGAAACTTTCCCCAAAACGGTCCCCGTTGCATTGACGTTTAAGGCCCTTAAAGCCCCGTAAACTCGTAAAAAATCCGTAAATTCGCCCTTGTACGGCCAAAAAACGGGGCGCTAGGGTAAAAATGGGTATCAATCGAAAGCTCTCGTTTACCCAGACACAGTCCTGCAGGAAAATTCCACTTTTTTCCCATAGGAAAGTTTTTACGGGAAAATCAAAATTTCGGGTCAATGGGGGGTCCCCCCCGATTTCGTTCAAAATCGGCACACAGGTGCCCCACCACCAGCCGAGAAACTTTCCCCAAAACGGTCCCCGTTGCATTGACGTTTAAGGCCCGTAAAGCCCCCTAGACTCGTAAAATATCCGTAAAATCGCCTTTGTACGGACAAAAAAGTGGTGCTATGGTAAAAATGGGTATCAATCGAAAGCTCTCGTTTACCCAGACACAGTCCTGCAGGAAAATTCCACTTTTTTCCCATAGGAAAGTTTTTACGGGAAAATCAAAATTTTGGGTCAATGGGGGGTCCCCCCGATTTCGTTCAAAATCGGCACACAGGTGCCCCACCACCAGCCGAGAAACTTTCCCCAAAACGGTCCCCGTTGCATTGA